GGAGACATGTCCAGGTGTCCCTGTGATGGACTGGAGACATGTCCAGGATGCCCCCAGTCTCTCGCACAGTGACTGTTGGACATGGACACCAGTGACCCCCGTGACCCAAAAAGGAAGAAAGTGGTAAAGATGGACGCTAATGGACGGACGGACATCTGTACCAGTTTTGACAGGGTTTCTTCTGGATGCGTTGATGGTTTCTGGATGTTTTCAGGGGTTGGATGATACCAGGACGTACGGATCATCTCTGCGGTCACGTTTTTATTCAGAAACGCTGCAACTTTCTGGTTCTCTTCAACATCCAGAGGAGAAAAGAAGAACCATGTGGTTCCACATGAAGTGTGATTGAGCCTGCACCCCTCAGCAGGTTCTGCTCCTGGTGTCAGAACCGAACCTCTGCAGGCTTTCTGTCACTGAGAGAAGAACCTGAAGTCACAGCTCCGCAGAACATCTTCTGAGTGAAGAACACGAGAACCTTCAGACATGTTCAAGAAGAACTGTTCTCCACATTCGGAAGAAAAACTTGTCAGAAAAATGTTCTCTGATCAGAACGTTAACCAAAGTTCTACAAACACGATCCAGTCCAAACATCAGGAACCCAAGAACCTTCAGCTGTCAAGAGTCCCTGAAAACCCTGATCTCAGCTCCATCAGGTGGCTCCAGCTGGTTTTGTACCCAGAAGGTCTGGATACAAAGGAACCAAAGCTGCAAAAGAACCATTTGGAGGAGGTCCAAGTTGACCTGGAGCGTGTCTGGAACGTGCACGTTCTGCTCACGTTTTCTGGATTACCATACAGTCTTTTCATGGGCCAGAACGTTGAAGGTCTCAGATTACCTTGTTCCTCCTCTGGTGTAGATGTTTGCGATGTGTGGACGCAGGAAGACGTTTAGTTTTACCCAAAGAGCTTCGTGGTGAGTTCTCTGCCTGCAGAAGGTTCCACCAAAGAAACACAGAACAGTTCTGGGTGTTCAGGATGTAAACAACAAGCTTGAAGAGAACAAAATGTTTGGGTGGGTTGAAACAGTAACGGGGGGGGGGGGGGTAATATTTCTGCACCGGTTGTTCTGCTCATCTCAAAAAGCAGAGAACCCTGTGGCTGGTTCTTTACGTTCTGCAGAAAAGACGTTAAAACCTAAGAGGGCTTTTCATTTGTCATCTGGAACCTGAGGAGCTGGCGACAGTCCAGGTCCGTCTGACGCGTCCAGTGATCCCCAGCAGGAGAACACGGGTCCCTGAAACAGACCAGCAAGGTTCTGCAGGAAGTCCTGCAGGGTTCTTCTGTGCTTTATTGTTCTGAGACACGAGCTTGGTGTGAAGTAAAGAAGGTCACTGAAGCAAAAGATTCAAACGAAGGAGACAGATGGGTCCCTGGGACACAGGAAGCGCGACGTCTTGAGTGACTGGAGGAGGATGAGCTGCGGTGTGTGTGGGCTGGTGGTGGTTAAGGAACCATGACAAGGAATGGACTCCCAGGGATGTTCTCATCGCCCCACTTCACGATGAGGATGTAGCTGCCCTGTTCCTTCACCGTGTACGTCACGTTGTACATCCTGTTCCCCATGTGCTTCACGTAGACCTCCTCACAGGGTGCTCTGGGCCCGTGGACCCCAACCATCAACATGTTGGTTCCTACAGAACAAACAAGAACGTCAGGTATTGAACCCACAGTTCAGAGAACATCTTCACACTGTTTCTCACCTGCTTGGCTGCAGTCGACTGTGAACGCGTTCTTCTGACCGATGAAGGCTTTGGAGAGACCAGCGCCGCAGGAGGTCACCTTACTGATGTCCGAAGTGAATTTAGGTAGTGAGCAAAAAGCCCCGCCCACTGCAAAAGCTCCACCCACTGCAGCTTTATTGGCGATAGATTCTACGAGAACAGACGACGTCTCATGCAGGTTGTGACCTCCAGACAGATGAGGTCCTGCAGGAACGTACAGAGACATCAGCTGAAACACGGAATCAACAGAACGTCAAATTGACAAACTCAACATGCAAATGAGTTCCATCACAATCTCTTGTGTCTCTGTAGAACAGTGAGGAACCAGCGTTTGGTTCTGGAGTCAGTCCAGTTTGCAGGAGATTTAAATTTAACTACAACGTTACACTTTATCAACAGAACTTCAAAAATTTTTTTTCAAAAACTGAAAGAAAGAAAGAAAACACAAGCAGCCTTGAGGCAAAGAACTCTCCTGGTTTCTACAGTGAAGGAAACCTCCAGGAAACTGAATTCTGGGACCAGGACCTCTGACCCACCTGAGACTCTGGCTTTGAAGGGGCTGCCAACAATGTGCTGGGGTCCTCCATATTTGATGGAGATCAGGTAGCTCCCAGGAGCCATGGGTGTGTAGGAGACCTTGTAGCCTTCAGAACACTCCTGACAGTCCATCTTGACTTTGGACGGTCCATCGATGGTGACGGACAGCGCTCCGGTTCCAGCGTTGCACGTGTTGACGATAAACTCAGATGCTATACCTGAACACATCCAAACAACAGTCTGTAAAACAATTTGCTGTTTAAGAAACAGCTTTAGAATGAAGAAGTAGGTTCTACCTGTGGTTCCTCCTTCCAACCCTGGTCCAAAGGCAGACACAAGCCCAGGATCTCCAACCTGGCCTGGTTCTCCTACTCGGATCTTGAAGGGGCTGCCGGGAACATGGCTGCTGTTGAAGCGAACGTCTATGGAATGAACACCATTCTCCTTTGGGACAAATCTGACGGCAAACTGATCTGCTGAAACAGAACAAAAGGTTCTGCTGTTACTCTGGAACCAAAGGTCCGTTCTCATGAACCGTTTGTTCAGAACCAATAACCTCTAAATTACTGGGTGTTTGAGGCAGCAGGAAATTACCTCATCAACTGCCTCTGAAAGGCGAAGGCAGGCAATGACGTTTTTGTTTTCTTACCAAAATTCATTCAACCTTTATTTCGACAGATAAGTCACATTGAGCCTCGAAGACTCGTTCTCAAGTGAGACCTGTTTAGACGGACAAAACGTGATGAAAGTGACACATGTAGGATTTGGAGGCAAAAAATTCCTATCAAACTCTTTCTCCTTGGCCGAGGAGGGAGAGACTGATATTGAAAAAACACCCCGTACATAGTGACGCAGACATTCCGCAAAGGAGGGGAGACAACAAGAGTGGTGATTGTGTCAAGGACACTCCAGAGGCACTGTAGGAGTTCTGGTAAGAATGGTACAATCAGCCAGTTCCCTCTGGTGAGATCTGTAAACACTCTCGAGGTGTGCCAAGGTCGACCTAGGACAGCGCCAGAGAGAATCCAAGAGTCCTGAAATGATGACACAATGCTTATTCAGCCGGGTCCCTCTGATAGGTCCACAGACTTCCTCGGTGGGAGGGGAGGGGGCAGAGCATCAAATTTGCAGAGCCTCCAGGTGAATTGAGATAAGGTGGCCTGTCAAGGCCAGCCGGGGAGCCGAATTCAGATAAACAACATTTGTTTTGGGAATGGGCAGAACTTTACTGATTTGTGTCTGCCTTGAGTCTTTGCTGGTCCTCATGAATCCCAAACGTCCAAATTAAGTGGACACACTGCTGGTCCGTGCCTGAGAGTATTCCCCGAGATCTGATCCACCCTGCCAGTGCTCAGTTCGCAAAGCAATTGAGTCTGGGTGCTCGAGGCACGGAGCAAACCATCACATAAGGCAGGTAGCCTGACCAGGGCCAAGTTTGCTGCCGATGACTTCCTTGTTTGTTGATAAACCAGGAACCAGCCGATTCTAAAAAGCAGGAAACCTGTTATCATCAATCTAATTATATATGCATCTTTAACATCCTCGATGGATAGCAGAGAGACACATCACCTTCCAAACACCTCAGGAATCCATGACATATCCAGCTGTGTGCATGTCATCAGGGCAAGTCAGCTCGCCTGAAGCTTGTCTTCTTGTCAAGAAAATTTTATCGGATGCATTGAGAGAACAGCTGATCAGATCCATAGCAGAATTATGGTTTGCCAGATATGTAGAGAGGCTCTGAAGCAGTTTCACAGACAGGACAGTGCAAAAGCAAAGCGGAGGAGGGAGAGGAGGGGAAAAGCATCCACCCATGACAAGAGCAAGTGGTCAAGTGATGTCCCATGAATGTCTCATGAAATTGAATAAAACTGTCAGAAAGTCAGGACCGGGTAAACATCTCCAACCGATTCCCTTTTAAAGTCAACCCTGTTGGCAAACTGACCCTAAGAACATTCAGATAAGCGCAACTCATTTCAGTCGGCTGATGTAAAGGTTGGTGTGGTAGTGGGTGAGAGTGACTGGCAGCACAGACTCTGAGCACGTCTTCTGCTCTTATCTCACGACACCATGAAACTCTGGTTGGTGCAGGAAAGATGATTCACAATGGTGAACGTGGCCGGTTGGTCCACGGTACCGTGGCTTGGACCAGGACTGAATGCTGTCACATGACCGCTGTCGATGGCGTCAACGTAAAACTGAAGAGGACTTCCTGTTTCAGAGAACACACAGGAACTGGACTTAAGACAGACTGATGAGACTATTATGAACTCAACCATCCATCCATCCATACAACCAACCAGCCATCCAACCAAACATCATCTAACCAACCATCCATACAACCAATCATCCATCCATCAAACCAACAAACCAACCATCCAACCAACAAAAAATCTATACAACCAAACAACCATACAACCATACAATCAACCATCCAACCATACAATCAACCAATCATACATCTATCTAAGCATCCATTCATCCAACCAAATATCCAAACAAATATCCATCCAACCAACTTACTATCCAACCAACCATCCAAATATCATCCATCCAACCAACCATCCAACTAACCATTCATCCAACCATCCATCCAACCAACCAGTTCAATTCAACATAACTTTATTGTCCATAACATTCCATGAAAAGGAGATTTTTCTTTGACATCTGAACCAACCAACCATCCATCCAGCTATCCAACCAACTATACATCCATCCAACCAACCATACAACTATCCGTCCAACCATATATCCAAACATCCAACCAACCATCGTACCAAACATCCAGCTAATCATTCATCCAACCAGCCAATTCAATTCAACTGTTGTCCATAACATTCCATGAAATGGAGATTTATCTTTGACATCTGGACCAACCAACCATCCATCCA